ACAGATATATATATATATATATATTTCTATGCAGAAACTCTCTTTTTTCTGTTTTATATATATATATATATATATATATATAGTTAAATAAATAAACAAACTTATAATTTTGTATATTTAAAGCAAACAACTTAAAAAACGTCATCAAAAATGAATTGTAGCTCAATGCAAAGGCTTTTTATAACCGAGAATAATATTAGAAAAAATGTTAAGAAAAGGAGAAGGAATTTTAAAAAAATATGAAAACCACGGAAAAAGGAGAATACTGAAGGGCTAACCTACTAAAACAATGTACAAAATCAATTTCTTTAGGACCTATTTTTCAAATGTATAAATTTTGATTTATGATGATATTGATGAATAAATGTGGTGTTTTACCACAAAAGAGAGAGAGAAAAAAACTTAATCGAATAGGCCAGCCTAACTCTTCTACCACTCGCAGTTACGCCACTGATGACGCAATCACCATTTGACATTTCAATGGTAGCACATTTAGCACTGTAAACATGTCATATATCTATAATAGGCTTACAACATACGATGGACATTGCAGCAACATAAGAAACTTTTGAATTTTGCATACCTGAACAACCGGACTCATCACTTCCGTCAGCACAGTCAACTTTGCCATTACACAGTTTGCTATCAGTAATACATGATTTATCAAGACACTTGTAGGCACCTTGTGAACAAGTAGCTTGAAAGATTAAGGGTAGACTATGAGTATTCATTCGTAATCATGTTTATATTTACCATAAATTGAAATAACAAAGAAGCAATGTATATCTAATCAGTGTAGTCAATGATATTCCGTGTATGTATCTTTACCCTCACCGTTACTAAAAGCATGATCAAAATATGTTTCTAATGAAAATTGGCCTTCTGTTAAAAAACCTCGCCAATTTGGACCTATAAATTAGATAGCAATCAAAATTGTTTATAGTAGGTAAACGAAAACTACAAACATTAATTTAATAGCGTAAAAAGTATAGGCCCTACTACAAATATTGAATTACGATAAAATGGCCTAAACTGATGGGGGTAGTAATTTTTTTTTAGTTTTTTCTTTCAATTGATGCTAACAAATGTAGCACGGCCTACCTGGTTGAGTGACGTTATATTCTATTTCAAATCCAGTTTTTTGAACGGATGAACTACTCAAAAAAACCAGTGTCAGTAAATTTGAAGATGATAACAACGGATACGGGAGATTCGAGCCACAGAATTTACCGATGATTGCTGACGATGTGTCGTTTTCAATGGAACCATCGAAAACAAATATGACATCACGCTGGCAGTTGGCCTCTTCTAAGTCTAGATGTTTAAACGTCAACAAAATGAGCTGTGCAAAGCAACAAAATGTGAAAACAAAATATTAAATTTCGATAATGACAATACGACAACAATCCTTGCCTTATACTCATGGTTTACTATTTCGACTAACAATAATCGAGTAAAGGCATATGATATTGAATATAGGCCTACACGATAATAGGCCTATTGTCCATTGGCAGGTATAAAGCATAAAAACAGTAATAAATTTTACCATAAAACAATAAAATTTATATTTTTAACCATTTTAATAACAAAATACTTGCGTTTCGGTCTCTCTCAACTATGAGATCGAAGGTTCGAACCTTCGCTGTGAATTTCACTTGTGAAATTAGGAAAATCACTTTGCCTAGGTTTGTCTCCCCCGTAAATATAAATAAGTACCTGGTAAGATGATGTGGCATTGAATGTATTAGTCTGCATTAAGCTGCTAGCACAACAGGAAAACTTCCCAGGGAGTGGAGGAGGTCGAAATTTGCTCTGGTTTTTGATCATGGCCAGCATACAATGATCTCTTGGCAAAAGGCGCGGTAAATGCCTATTAGTATGATATTGAATGATACCGTAATGATGACGATAATAATGATGATGATGATGGTGATGAAGACGAGGACGATGACAACAAAACTATCTACACTATGGCAGCGATTATCACAAACCTTGTCACGTGGTGCTGTTATAATCCAGGTACATTCAGCATCCGGGTCGTATGGTGTTTGCCCATCGTAGTTCATAGATGCTATTGTACCATGAGTGTCCACACGGTACTTCAGATCACCACATCCTGATGCAGCTTTCACAGGAGGAGTCGGCGCTTTAAATGTTGGTCACGCGAGAATGTTAGTGATTATCAAACCTAATGATTACGAATTTCCCTAATGTTATCAATTATAGGAATGTTAATATTAAGGACGGTCGAAACTGCTCCGGCCGCAAAGTTTTCTTTTTGTTTTCTTTCTTTTTTTTTCTTTTTTGCCGATCCACATCTTCTAATACTTTTATTACATTAAATATATGTTTATTGTTACCTAGTAAAAATTATATAAATTTATTAATAATTTTCCACCATAATATCAATCGATGTTTATATAAAAAAATATCCACCAGGTGTGTGTTTAGTGCACTATATGCATTTTGGCAATCCTTAATTTTAGTAGATTATTTTTGAAAATGGTTAGAGGTATATCAATAAAATAACAATTGACTATCAAACTGACATCACCAAAAAAGGCATGGGTCAAGCCAGACCTGAATACTTGCTATCAAAACTTAAACCCCTTAACTGAAGTATATTTAAATGTGTTATTTCTGGGTCTAGAAGAGTATTTTTTTTTAAATGTGCCCACCTCAGTCCCAAACAGGATGGAGTAGAGGTGAGTATGGTATCTAGTCACCTATCTATTATCATGATTTATTTATTAAAAAGTATCTCTTCGGAGATCCTGTTTTGTCGTCAAATGCTTACCAGAGGGTGTATCATCATATGAATCGCGGTTATTTGCAAGCATCAATGACTAGTGCTGTCTAATTACGCATTTGCATGCCTGTTAGTAAAGTTGCTTATATCGGATTTGAATTCCAAACAAATCCTCAATGACCCTGTTAAAAGACGTCTGAATATACAGCAGGGTTCGAATCCCGGTTGGGGAAACGTTTTTCACACTTGTAGATTCCTCTTTAACAAGACGTTTCAGAGTTTTATATCCCTACTTATCTGGCACAATTTTTAAAACGATGCTGTGGGAAACAATGGCTGGATCTCAGTAGAGATACAAAAATGATAACAATAGGCTGGGTGAGATTAGAATAAACAGCCTAAACAAGTAAACAGGAAGGCCAAAACTAAACTTTAGAGGCGTGCCTCAATAAGTAAGCCAAATGATATATCCAGAATAAATTGAAATGCCATTGGTTTAATTTAGTGTACCGGGAGAACGTTCCTAATATTGAGTCCAAATGGTGTGGTTGTTTTAAGTAAAAGTTCTCAGTGATTCTCTTTATCTTTGCGATTTTTGTCGCTCCAACTGGCATTATGGTCAATTGCAATCACTCTGAAATAAT